CAGTTTTTTTTTTTTTTCTTTTTTCATTAGAATGAAATCTACTTGATAGCAAATATTAGTTTTCCACTTACGTATACAGTCAATAATCTTTCCACCATTAAAAAAAAAGGTAGGTGGTAACACTGATCATCCTTCATTACTCAAAACCTCCTACAAAGTTGTTCTTTCTCATTCAGAGATCTTTAAAAGTAATTTTTAACTTGATTTCACAGGGACCAAGATGTTCCATAGAGGGAAAGGAGCACATAGTGTGATCTGCCCTCTCTAGGGGTTGCCCTATGGGATTTTCTTTTTAATAAGCCAAAATGTTAACTTATTAATTGTCTGTGTGTGTGTGTGTGTGTGTGTGTGTGTGTGTGTGTGTGTGTGTGTGTGTGTGTGTGTGTGGTGTGTATATGGGGGGGTAGATCTTTCCTTACCTAAAATGAAATGCCATGCTTACCATTTGGGCACCCTCATCTCAGTAGAATGTTACTTAGAAGGCCAAAATTTTTTTATCAGATGCCTCCTTTGTAAGCATGAAATGCAGGGATATTTTGTTAATAAATATCTCATGTGAACATTTTCAGCATTGGACTCTTTGAGTCTGGGGTGGGGAAATAGGAGAGAGCTTTGTATTTTCAAGGGATGGTCATTAAGAGGTTTTTAAAAGCCTACCTTATTGTTTATTATGTATGTGTTTATGACAAATTGTTTACACAGTGATTTGCAGAGTCCATATAAATATTATAAAATAAAAAGCTTATTTCAAATATTATCATATTCTAGTTTTTACAGATGATCTAATTTCAAAGTAATGGTACCAAGATGAAAAAGGAACTAAGAAACAGAATGTCTAAAAATCCTCCATTTTAATAAGTTTTATTTCCTAGCTTTGTTCTATACCACACAAAAAAGATCTGCTGAGGGAGCATATCAATCTAACACCCAAGAACCTGCATACACTATTCAGATATGAAAAATTCAAAAGTAAAATACTCTAAAAACTACATAAATGAAGGCCTCCTGATTGGCAGATCTTCCTAAATCCCATATTCTAGAGTACTAAGTAGAATGTAGCCCCATAGCTCCACTCATGTAGTAGTTCCCATCTGCCAAGCAAAGCAAATTGATTTGTGCTTAATAAGACAAATATGCATAAATTAGTTTTAACTCTATAAAACCAGGTCCTAAACGTAGGTACCATAGAAAAATCATTATTAGCTAGGAGAAGCAGGGATAACATAAGGGGGACCATAAAATCCAGAAGGGTGGATTATTCTCTAAATGAAGGAAAATTACTTTACCTATAAAACAGCCTCTGTATAACAAAAATTTCCACAAGATAGTCCATCCTGCTGTTAGCCAGAAAAATTAAGTAAGATAAAGTTTGGCAGATGGTCAGTAATTTATCAGATATCCACTAGAAGTGTTTCAAAAATTTAGAAGGGGTACCTCAGAATTCTAACTTCCAAACTCATCTCTTGTTTTAATAATCCTAGGGTTCTCTGTGGCTGCTATTCCATTATTAGAAAAAAAATGGAGTTAATTAACTTTATCAAGTCCACACTTAAAGTCATTACATTGCTGGTGATTACCACCAATTATCACATGGCAAAGAAATGAAATCTTAAAGTATAACCATTAACATTTCTATATGATCATTATCATTTCTTCATTAAACAAAATGCATAAACTAATATTTTAAAGGGATAGCACATAACACTGGATTTTAGCAAATAAAATGGACAAAGGCACGCTTATGCTGGCATACACTCAAGCTACTGTGAGAGCTAATCCAAATGAGGATTTGTGGTAAAGCACAGCAAAGCTTTTGGCTTTATGATTTTAAGTAAGAATACAGTAATTGAGCAGCTAGGACAATCAGCACACGCTTTCACTCTGGACTAAAAAGAATCAAGCAAACCCTAAACACACCTCTTTGTTCCTTTCTGATCCATTTTGTTTTAATTTACATGGAATTACAGTGGTAGCTCTCAAGCGGTAATTTCAAGCATTTTGTCAATACCACAGGTAAAATAATCATGGAATGATATAAACTGACCACTAAATGAATTCGGATATCACTAGTTGCAACATGTATGTGTGGTAGAAATCTTAGTTTATTTTTTCAGACAAATTCCTCTTATTCTAGAGATATGGGGACTAGTAAGTGGAGTGGGTAGGATAGAGGTAAACTAGTGCAGTTTGTCCATGCTTTAAGAAGAAAGCATGTCAAGCTGGATAAGGTGGCTCATGCTTGTAATTCCAATCCCAGCCCTTTGGGAGACCAAGGTGGGAGGATCTTAAGGCCAGGAGTTCAAGACCATGCCTGGGCAACACAGCCTGTACCTCAAAAAAATAAAAATAAAAATAAATAAATTAGCCAGACTTAGTGGCTTGTACCTGAAGTCCTAGCTACTCTAGAGGCTGAGGTGGGAGGATTACTTGAGCCCAGGAGTTCCAGGCTACTGTGATCTATAATCACATCACTATTGCTGCCCTCCAGCCTGGGCAACAGAGAGACCCTGTCTCTAAAAAAAGAAAAAAAAGGCCGGGGGAGGCGGTGGCTCAAGCCTGTAATCGCAGCACTTTGGGAGGCCGAGGCGGGTGGAACAGGAGGTCAAGAGATCGAGACCATCCTGGCCAACATGGTGAAACCCCATCTCTACTAAAAATACAAAAACAATTAGCTGGGCGTGGTGGCCTGCGCCTGTAATCCCAGCTACCCGGGAGGCTGAGGCAGGAGAATTGCTTGAACCCCGGGAGGCGGAGGTTTCAGTGAGCTGAGATCGCACTACTGCACTCCAGCCTGGCGCCTGCCGAAAGAGTGAGACTCTGTCTGAAAAAAAAAAAAAAAAAAAAAAAGAAAGAGAAAGAAAGGATGTCAAATGAAAAATTAAACACAGAAAACAAGGAGTGATTGTTTAAAGGAAACTTGCAACAAGTTAAGAACCATGTAATACTACAATATGGTAATTTGATTTTCAAGAATTTGATTTACCTACTTATTTTAGAGGAACACAGTTTTCTTATGAGGAACGAAAATAAATTATAAGACTATTCCTGAGGCTGTAACACAGGACTATAAAATCTATTTTATTTTATTTTTTGAGACAGAGTCTCCCTCTGTTTCCCAGGCTGCAGTGCAGTGGCCCTGCTATGGCTTACTGTAGGCTTGACCTCCCAGGCTCAAGCCCTCCTCCCACTTCAGTCTCTTGAGTAGCTGGGGCCACATGGCTGACTAATTTTTGTATTCTTTGTAGAGACAGAGTTTCACCATGTTGTCCAGGCTGGTCTTGAACTCCTGGTCTTAAGCGATCCACCTGTCTCAGCCTACCAAAGTGCTGGAATTACAGGCCTAAACCACTGTGCCTGGCCTGAAATCTATTTTAAATATATCCTGACCTATTGTGAATGGACTCAAGTGGATAATTTATGTCACTGGGTAATTATGAACACTGATTCTAAAATTTTGATCTAGAAAATATCTGCATCTATTAAATGGAAGGACTCTTCTGCAAAATAGCATTAGTAATTTTTAAAAATTAGAAAATGATAAAATGTCAAATTTAACAGGACAATTTTTGTTGCCATATATTCAAAAGACTCTTTTTAGAAACTGGATAAGATTAATAGGTCTAGCAAAATTTTTAAAAATGTCCTGTAGAACCTCAGAATTCTCTGCACCCTGGGAGTATCTTGAAAATGAAATAACAGCATGCATTTATCACCATCTTAATGACATACATTGATTTGGCACTATTATCTTTCGTTTTATCCTCTGAACTCTGTGAGGCAGGCACCATTTTCCAAGAGAGAAAAAGCAAGGTCATCTCCTCCATGAATGATAACTTCACTGGTTTACTAGTTGGTCTTCTTTTCCCCTTAGCCCATCCCACCCTTCTTTTCCAGGTTATAAGCACTGCAAAGCCAAGGAACCGAATCTTGTGAACCTTGTGGCACACAGTAGGTGCTTAAGGTTTAGTAAATGAAAGAATTTGAGGAATGTCATCCAACAAGTAAGAGAGTAGGATGGGGCTAAAATGCTGGTTTTCGGGACTCTTCCCTCTTTCCATTACATCACGCTGTGTGGTACAGCACTTCAAGGTTACAATACCAAATTAGAAATTGATTAGAAAAAGAGCTCTTGTTTTCCCGACGTCCAACACTTTAAATGTCCCTACCCAAGATGAGTGGTCTCAAAATAACATTCTTTGGAACTTTTAAACACTTGGCCAAAAACCAGTTTTTATGAATTGGGGACAGGGTGGGTTGGACAGGAAGAGTTAAACTCTTACCATCTGCCTTGCAATCACAGCTTTGAATGAAGGGGCAGCACCAGTCACTCAAGAGATTAATTTATTACGACGTTGTTAACAGCCTTTGAGAGGAGAGCCCAAAGATTGCAAACTTGGAGACAAAGTCAAAGATGCTAAACTGGGAGAGATGAGCAATTCTGAGCCTATCCCTCCACCTCCCCTGTCTCCAGTTCTCCCTCCTCCCTAATCTCTTTTTTGAAGTCTATTTCTCAGGATGTGATTGGGGCGGCTCCCTTTCTCCTCACCATCCCCTCATCCCCACTCCACCCCATCCCCCACACACTTAAAGTCCACAGGGTGCTGATAATCGGTATGGGTTTTGTAAAAAAAGTTAAGTTCACAACTTCGAACTGGCCCCTGTCACCAGCCTAAATGCGACCTGTCTAGGTCTAACACTCGTCATCACTCCCCATCCCCCCATGGGAATCGACAAGGCAGATACCCGTTTCTTCCTTGGCCTCAGAGAGAACAGCACTCCTCCATTCCCCTTGTCCCAACTAAAGAGCAACTCGTTGTCCAGTGAGACATTCTCAGGACTTGGAGGTAGTGGCGGAAAAGTGGTGTCGGGAGAAGAAACCTAGTCCTTCCGCCCACGGTTTAGGATCGAGAAACGGGTAGCGACGAGTAACTGTTCTCCTCAACACCTTTTAAGTAACAGCGAACACAGCCCAGAGGCAGGTAGCGGTGGCCACAGCTTACCTGTGAGCCCCCCTCCGCCTTCCTCCCCGTAGCCCCGACGCCGCTGCAGCACGAAGTAGTCGTTGGACCTTTCCATCAGCCACAGCTTCAGCGCATTTTTCAGAAGCACTTCCTCAGGCTTCAGCCACATCGCGAACTTTGTGACCCCCGGGAGGAGCGACCTAGATGTCCTCCTCACCTCACCCTCAACCTGTCTCTTCCCCTCTATTTCTCCTCCCACCAAATCTTCCTCAGGCGACAGCAGCCCGGGTTCAGGTTTTCCACACTTCCCCCAACCCTCCCTTCTCTCCCACGTAGGCAGAGAGATTGCCAATTCCCTCCTACAGCGCTACCGCCAGACTGGGAAATAGTCCCGCTTCTTTACCTCTTGGGAGTTGTAGTTTCCTACACGCTTTTCTTTGCTCACTCGACTGGAACATGGGACTACGCTTCCCACAATACACCGGGGTGAGACTGGGTGGGGACGCTTTCAAAGCGGGTCCCCGCCAACAGTTAAGTGTGTTTTGCCTATCTGAAGTTTAAAGCGGTTTTTGGTTCAAAATAAGTGAGTTCCAGGTGTAAAGGTGTTGCTTCTCTTTATCGTTTTACAGCTGAAGGCATTAAACTGTAGAAAACAAAGTTCCTGGACTTTTGAAATATCGGCTCACTCCAGGAAGCAGCAGTAGCAACAACTAACATTTAATCTCTCAGAATAAACTCAGGTGATCTCATGTAATTCTCACAGCAGTATTGCGACGTAGATATTCGTCTCGCTTTGCACATTAATAAAGGAAAGTGCTGACGGGGGAAGTGACTTAGCCAAGGTCACACAGTCAGTGATCGATTCCTTCTCTAAATCTAAAATTCATGCCTAGATTAAGCTCTTTTTGGTTGTATAGGAAGAATATAAAATCTCCAGAAGTCACGCATTTTCTTCACTCGGTGCACCCCTTCCTTCCTTCACTGTGGCCCCTATCTGTTTATTAAACTACTGTAATGAACCACAGAAAATCTCTTGTCCAACTTCCTATTTTGGAATCTAAACAATGTATGAGCATTTTTTTTTCTTTCTCAAACTCTTAAGAAAAAATAATCCCTTTGAGGACCACCTTTACCTCTTTGTATCTTGGCAATGATGCCCAGCGGTTTGAACACTAAGGTGAATGAGGTCAGTAATTTGCATGATATCCCTGTGAGGAAATAATATTTAAGCGATTTTTTTTAATGTATTGCAGTAACTAAGTCCACCGGAATTAAATAGTGCACTAAGAATGAAGACAAGTTTAGAGGGAAGCAGGAGTTGGGAGGCAATGTATAAGCAAGGGGCTCTTGGTGAGCTGTTTTGATAATAAAGCCTCAAAGCCATGTGGATTAAAAAAAATGTGATGGGGCACGTGCAGATGCCAAGCCAAGGAAATCTGCCCTGGAGGAGCGTCTCTGGGATAACCTTCCAAGATGTGAGCCATCTCCAGTGAGGCAGGCGCGTGCTCCAAACAGGGATTTTTCTTGTGAATGAGAAAAGGAGCAATCTGGGGTTCTCTTCTACTAAATGGCAGTAAGTAGTCCCAAGGCAGCTATCTGGACAGTTTGGAAAGAGACAATCCTTTTAGAGTCCAGACTGCAATGGGTCTTTGGGAAAACCCATCACAATTTGAATGTGTACTAAGGGAGATAATTTTTTCTTCTCTTCCTGGAGAATGATCAGTAAATGTAGCAAATGTTGAGAGATGTCTTCCTTTCTTTTTACCTTTCCTTCCCCCTTTTACTTCCTTCTCCATCAAACCACATTCTTTTCCAATACTCTTAAAGGTGACATTTGTGGCAAAGGAGATGCTGAACTGGATGGCTTTTCTACCTGTTTACTCTGCAACTTCATCCAGGTATACCCATATGCTCCCTGTTAAAGGATCAGGCCCACTTCTGGCTTACAGCAGAGCATTTAGAGAGCTCCTGCTTTAGTAAATAAGCATTTCACTGACTATGTAAACATTTTTTTTCCTAATTAAATTACTTAGGTGATCTAATTTTTTTGGCTCAATCATAAACAATTTATTTCACACCCTTGCAAATAAAAGTATTTTCCTAGAAGCACCTTAAAAAACAGAGTGTGTCACTCTATTCTGTGTCAATATAAATTGCTTGGGGAAAGAGGATTGGGATTGCACACTGTCTGCATTGCTGGTGCTGTACTGGTGCTGTATATGTGTTATGCCATTTAATTTTCATTAATAAGCTTGCACACTTTCAAATGCTTACTTTATGGATGAAGGAAAGGAGACTCAGAGAAGTTAAATAACTTGCTTAAGATCATATAGCTAAATAAATGGCAAAGCTGGAATCTGAACCTAGATTTGTCTGATTACAAACGATGACACGATACTGCCTATGCATATGGTCCATAATTACCTCAAATACAACATGTTCAAAGCCAAACTTATTTTTCCAATATTCTTCCTGGTTAATGTTTCTCCTACTAGGTTTCCTAGTTCAAAGCACCTCTGTTTACCAAGACACTGAAGGTAAGAACTTGGTCGGTCGATATCTCTCTCTCTCTCTCTCTCTCTCTCTCTCTCTCTCTCTCTCTCCTACTTCTTTTTCAAAAGTACTTTCCATCCTCCTATGATGGCTTTAGATCAGCCTCACAACAGTTTCCTCCCATATGGTAATATAGCTTCCCAACTCATCTGTCTGCTTCCACTCTTGTTTTCTGATTTATACAAGCCACATATTAACAGATCCAATAATATACCATGAAGAGATAAATAATACCTCATTTTTCTGAAGGTCAGTATTGCAGCTGACTCAGCCTTCTAAGAGCCTCAAACATCTATAAGAAAAGGTATTTGGAAACCCTAAATAGCAATTCCAAAACCTGTGCTATGGAAAGACTGAGGCTGTCACTCAGGATTTTACTGGCTTTTCTGAAAGGAATGTCACTAGCTTAGCTTATACTTTTTTACAGTCTGCAGCTAGCTTAGAAGCAGTATAATTCAAAACAGACAGACTACTGCTAGATGAGAGCCATTTAAAGCTTTGCTACTGAAAGTGTGGACCCCAGACCAGCAATGTTTGCATTACCCTGGAACTTGCTAGAAATTCAGAATCTCATACTTCCTTCTACACCTGCTGAATTGGAATGTGCATTTTAACAAGATCCCCAGGTAACTTGTAGGTGCATTAAAGTTTTAGGTGCACTGATTTAAAGCAAATTAGATATTTGAAAATCAAACTCTACAACGAATTGGGGATACTCATGTTTCTATTAAGACCCACATAGATATCTTCTAAAAAACAGGCTGTTAATGAATTTTAGATCACTGAATTGCTTTTTTAAAAAGTTTATAACAGGGGCTGGGGGCGGTGGCTCATGCCTGTAATCCCAGCATTTTGGTAGGCTGAAAAGTGGGCAGATTGCTTGAGCTCAGGAGTTTGAGACCAGTCTGGAGAACATGCCTATCTCTACAAAAAAGTACAAAAATTAGGCTGGTGTGGTGGTATGCACTTGTGGTCCCAGCTACTCGCTAGGCTGAGGTAGGATGATCGCTTCAGCCTGGAGGCAGAGGTTGCAGTGAACTGAGATTGTGCCACTGCACTCCGGCCTGGGTGACAGAGCGAGACCCTGTCTCAAAAAAAAAAAATGTTTATAACAGGACATGACTGTTTAGTTTTCTAAGGCAGTGGTTTAGACGTGGGATATCAGTTGGGATTATAACTAGAAGAGGAAATTGCCACTAACCTTCCATACTAAATCCTATTTATTTGTACTACTCTCTTAACCACAAAAGTCTAGGTATGCCTATTAGTGTTCCACATTCATGAGACTGTTTATGTAGAAAAAAGTTGAGAACTAGTGGATAAGGTTTCTCAAACATTTCACTTTAGCTCTGATAGTAGAGGATAATAAACATTCATCTCAGGAGGTCAAAGTGTCCATCATAATAATGAATTTATTTTAAGTCTCATGTACTATATTTGTTTAAATTTTATATTGTTCAATGTTTAAAAATATAAAAAATTAACTCTCAGCAAAAAGCAATGAACAAGGTAAATAATTCAAAATTTGTTACAGCCTAAGGTGATAACATTTCTCAACATCATCGAACTTAAATAAAATATTTCATAAGTGAACAGAAACTAGATGTAGGTGGGGGAAGGAATCTTCCTACCATTCCAATTGTATCTCTAAATATGTTTTTACTGATTGACCTGGGAACCATATATATTCTTATTTATAAGATAACACAACCTGGGTTCCATTAAACTTACAAATAAACTGTGAAAGCCCTTCTTAAGTTGGAGACTCCATAGACATACAAACATTACTCCCACTGTTAAAAAACAACAGCTTATATTTTTACTACTATGTGAGAGTGTAGCATAAAGTCTGATGCTCAAGCTAGAGAATGTCAAAAGATAATAGCAGGAAGAAAATTCACAAGTGGCACAGAATTTCTCTCCTTGGTTTATAACCAAGATAATCTAAAACATACATCTACACAAAGACTTACATGTGAATGTGCATAGCAGCATTATCCATAATGGCCAAAAAGTAAGAATAGTCCAAGGATTCATTACCTGTTGAATGGATAGCCACTCATACAATAGAATATTGCTCAGCAAGGAAAAGGAACAAAATATTGATATATGCTACAACATGGAGGAACCTTGAAAACTTGCTAAGGGGAAGAAGCCAGTCACAAAAGGCCACATGATGTATGATTCCATTTATATGAAATATCCAAAATAAACAAATCTATAGAGACAGAAAGCAGATTGGTGGTGGTGTGAGGCTGGGAATGGGAGGGGGAACTGACTGCAAATGGGCATAGGAGAATGTTTTGGAGGGATGGAATGTTTTAAAACTGGATTGTGGTAATAGTTGTACAGCTCTACACATTTGCTAACCATATTCCAATTATATATTTTAAATGGGTAAATTATGTAAATTATACTTCAGTACACCTGTTAAAAATTAAAAAAAAAAAACATTAAAAATGTTCCAAAAGAAGTCCCACAAAACTTGAAAAGAGTTTAACTCTCTAAGAATATAGGGAAAGAATATAGGCATTACACATCCACCCCCGTCCCCGGCATGTCACCACATAAGAAACATGTACCTGTTTTGATAATCCTAGTGCTGAGGTGTTCCAAGCATGTTTGTATCCTTAACATGCTTGACGAAAGAAAGATGCACTTAATACATTAATAGCATCCTAACAGTCATACTACCAAAGAGAAGGCTGAAGAAAAACTTTAAAGCATGAAGATGGACTGGCATCAAGGTCTATTTTAATGTTATATTATTACTGATCAACC